GACTGCCACATCTTTTTTTCCATGGAGCAGCTGGTAGGTTTGAACCACTGACCTTTAGTTTAGTAGTTAAGCGTTTAACCACTGTGCCATCAGGGATCTTGTTAATCTATGTATAGATGGCACTAATTAGCATTTCCTTGCATGTGGAACCAAACCACCACCTGCTTTTCCTGTGTTGTGAAAAATTTAGAAATCAGCTAGTCACATCTTTTTTTTTTTTTAAAAAAAAAAAATTTTGTTATCTGAGGCTGTGAGGCTCTAGGCAGGCTGCAGGGTGTAAACGCAAATGAATGTTGCTACAATCCTCCTTCCACACTCCTCACAGAGGAAGTGGTAGGATCCCTGATATACACATTTTATAGTCATTTTGATTCTCTTGTCTTAATTTGCACAAAGCTTATAGAGGGAAATGATTTAGCATGCAGCTTCTTTCTTTTGAGAATCAATGCTGTGCATCTAAGATGGGAGTTTTTGTGCTTTACTTTGAGGGCAGACATGGCAGGTATGCAATGTAAAAAGGTGATATATTCCAGTGGAGTCATGCTGAAGAGAATATGAAAAAGATCCTTCAACTTCAGTGGCTGACAGCTTCATCTTGCACTGTGTGGGCTTCGTAGAAAGTCTTCTTTTTCGTCACATTCAGTTTCACCTTATTGCAGCGGTTCCTTACCAGATGGCCTGAAAGAGAGGAGGAGTTCACAAGAGACAGTTTATGCAGCCGGGTAAACACCCCAGAGCTGTACTTTGTGAGAGCGATTGAGTGACCAGTAAAGTTAATCCTGGGTGTCTGTTCACTTTTTCATCCCAAAAGAGTTCCTCCACCTACTTGTCTCAGAGCAGAGAGGCAATCTGAGATCAAACTGACATCAGCCCTCATTCTGAGCTTGGCACATCTTCAGAGCAGCTACTGTTATTCTGCCAAAAGGAAGTGGAAATTGAGATAAATGTTTCAATCCTCGGATGGAAAAAAAGTCCATTTTTACACCACGTGCCTTTTGAAAAACCACATTCCTTAGAAACGAAGTTTATTGTTTCCTTTTGTGATGGTTTTCTTTTCTTTTCTTTTCTTTTTTTTTTAAAGACTTGGTATTTAAGAGCAGTAATTGAGTTCAGATTTTAAAATATGCTGTTTCCCTGTACATGTCATTAAAATAAAATATTAGCTTTCATAAAGTTCCTTTGGAAGTGGTTCTGGTGTGCTCTGTTCTGTGGTGTGTAGAGTGTCAATTAAAATATGAAGAATAATGGTTGTGTGTGATATGATAATGATTGAGCATTGATCCTAGAAATGGCTAAGGATCTATTACAATTACAGAGTTTCCCAAATGTGCCTAACATATACGGAGTCTCTGTAATTTGCTCACCTACTGTCCTATGTAGTTTACTTCCACAAACGTGTTCTCTAATAGTGGTCTTGTCTTTCCACAAGACATTACAGCTATAGCAGTTTGCATGGTAGAAGGCAGCTCCTGGGAGGGCCTTGAGCACTGATCTCTAGAGTTTTTGAGGTATTTATTTCAGAGGATGTCAGTTACTATTAGAAAAGTATCTGGGTTTGAAATGATGCATATGAATCTTTTCAGAAGATATATATCAATAGCAAATTTATTTCACTTCATACCTTATCTTTTGGGTATTCTAGTAGAACATTTGGTAATGAATGTCATTCTCTCACCCCATATGCATTAAAAAGGGTTTTGCTGTGTTTTGTTTTAATGCAGTATATAGAAATTTCACTCTTCTATCAGATTAGTGTTGAAATGAGTTTCGCAGTAGGTCTTGGAGTTGGGTATAAAGATTTAAGTGCATTTGAATTTCAAATTTCCAAACCTAACATTGCCGTCTCCCCAAAGTGCTCTGTTCTTTGTTGGCTTCTTCAAGTTTACTGGGTTACTATGGGAGACTGTTCAGTATCTTAGAGAATCCTAGCTGAGCTACTTTTTCTTCTCTGTGATCTAATTGATATTCTGATATGTCCTCTAGATCAAGAGGAATGGTATTTGGACCAGCCAACTTAGGGGAAGATGCAATTAGAAACTTCATTGCAAAACATCGCTGCAACTCCTGCTGCCGGAAGCTCAGACTCCCGGGTATGCCCCAAACAAATCTATTTTCTTCTAAGTAAATCTCTCATAGAACAACGTCCAATGTAACCTGGGATGGAGTAGAAAATCTTAATCACATTTTTATCTCATTCACAGTCAAGGCCTGACTTTCTGACTGCAAAATTTCCAAGTTTCTAAAGGGATTAAAAGGGTAGGGATTTACTTCAGGTTCTGCTAAAATGTGATAAAATGACATTGGGCCCAATACATGTCACAGTCATTCCAAGGAAAAAGTTCCATCAACTTAAATGGGGTGAAATTGGACTGAGGCAGATCTCTGCCCCTCCCCTTTGGGTACTGCCCACTCTATGCTGATGATTATAACATGGTGCCCCAGTAATTCTGCTATTTTCTTATTTACCCATTAGACACTGGGGAGGGTGGAGAATGTGGGGAAACAGCAGCTGTCAATCAAAGTAGCTGTTTTTCAGTACAAAAACATGCCATTTTAAACATACATCGCACTATTTATTTTTTTCTAAAATGATATATGGCACATTTTCTCTGAAACCAATACCGTCATCATAGGAAGTATTCCTAACAGAAAAACAAGCAGCTAAATGAAGGTCTGTACCTGGCTCCCAAATTGGCAGTCCTGGCTTGGCTGCTCTGTGATCCCTTGTTGCTTCTGCTTTTATCAGAGAGCTCTTTTCTGTCCCCATCAGCCTGCTCCCTCTTTTTCTTAGGTCATACCAAGCTTGTCCTTAGAATGGATTTTCACATGTTTTAAGCTGAGCAACTCTTCCCAATTTAATTAAATCATCATACTCTGAACTGGAAACCAGTAAAAGATCATTATCCATTGTAACCTGGGATGGAGCAGGGATAAATTTACAGTAAAGGAGAATCTCTAATCCTTTTGGAGTTGGCAGTAGGAGGACCTATTGTGGGCAAGACCTAGCAAAAGATTGGTCTTGGGAGAAAGACAAGACTCAGCAAATGGTTGGGGTTTGGAGCAGGCCTCTAGTTTCAGTGGGAAGTAGAGAGTTAGCCAGGGTACATGGTGAGGGTAGTGGATGTAGGTGGAAAGTCAAACTGTAGCAAAGAGGGGAAGGTTGTAATGCTCAGCATATAGCTTCCTAGGATTAGCTTTCAGAAACCACACACCAGACCTAGGCAAAGAGGTCAGTCCATAGCACATTGGCTGATGGGCAGAGCTGCCAACCTGGCCACCTACTTTTGTAGAAGGAGCACAGGCAGGGGCTGGAGCTGGGCTGAGGGGCTTCAGGACCTCCAGCTAAGGGGCCCTGCAGGAAGGAGGAGCCACAGATATCCATGACTTGCCTGCAGGCTGGAGTTCAGCCCATAAGCTCAGTGTCCTCAGGCTCTGGCCTCTTTCCAAGTCTCATTCATCTCACCCTGGACAAGCAGCCTCCCATTTTAGAAGACCCAGAGCCTACCCAGGAGAAAGGGAGGCTCACTATCTAATTTGACCGTTCCAATCCTCCCAGGAGAAAGGGAGGCTCACTATCTAATTTGACCGTTCCAATCCTTGGACCCAGTAAGCAATTCTCTATGATTGGGTTGAAATCGTTTTAGCTACACTGCTGGGTTTTGAGTGAGTAGTTCAACAATCCCTTCATCTCTAGACTTATTCTAAGTTTCTTCAAAACCTAAGTTAGCACATTTATGCATAAATCAGAAACATCTTCATTACTCAGACATTGGGTAATCTGAATTAAAAAGTTTAGTCTGGAAAAGAGGATTAAGAGTTATTTTCTTTTTTGCTTGATTATGTCTCACTTTTTTTTTTTTTTTTTTTTTAAGAGAGGCAGTTTAGGGCAATGTATAAAAGCATAGGGTCCAGAACCAGAGTGGTTGAGGGCTTATCCTGTTCTGCTGTTTACTAGTTCTGTGCCCTTAGGGGGAGCTCTGGTGGCATAGTGCCTATGCCATTTGACTGCTAACCATAAGGCTGGCGGTTCAAACCCACCGGCCACTCCTTGGAAGGAAGGTTGAGCAATCTACTTCCATAGAAATACTGCCTCGGAAACCCAAGGAGGGGTCACTATGAGTCACATTGACTTGATGGCAGTGAGTCTTTTTTTTTTTTTTTTTAAGTGCCCTTAGAGCTAGATTTCCTCACCTGTAAATTGGAGATAAATGGTATGAGCATTGAATGAAGCAATATACTAAAACACATAGCAAGTGTCCAATAAAGTGTTATTAAAGTAAATATTTGTTAGTTTTCTGTCTAGATAATCCTCATTCAACATTAAACAGCGTAAAAGGAATACATGTTTACAGTTATAAAATTTAATCAGCACAACACAAAAAGCTACGTAAAAATTTAAAGCCCGTCCTTCTCTTTACCCTTCTTACCAAAAATTATCCCTATTAATAGTTTTTGGTAATTTTTTCTTCAAATGGGAGAACGAGGTGTTAGCAAGCATTGGACAAAGCTTTTATAGGTGAGTGGCAGGACTGAAATACAGCTTTTTTTTTTCAGAGAACTGACCACTGAAATCTAGAGCCCACCTGTTTGGCTGGCCCTGCTTGTCACCCAACAGTGAAAATACCCTTTTGCCAAGTTTTCAAAGAACAGAATCTTTCCTCCCCTGCCACAGTGAATACATGCCTAAAAGAGTACTGGGGACTTAGAATCACACATGAATATGGGGGAAGAGCTTTTAGTTGGATGCGGTAGAGTGTGTGAGTTCCACATATCCATGGCCTAGGGAAGCAGAATCCACTCTAAACTCTTGGCAAAATCTAGCAACTAATCTATCCGTGTGAACATTATGTCTGGGAGCATGCCTTATAACCGTCTAAATTGTCTGCCTTGCAGATTTAAAAAGAAATGACTATAGCCCTGGAAGGATAAATTCCACCTTTGGACTTGAGACCAAAATAGAACCAGCTGAAGGGTTTCCAACAAGGGAAGCAAGACGTGATTCCCCAGAAGACCTTACACAGCTGTAAAAAGGGAGGTGTAAGAAGAAAGGTTGGTGGTTTGAATCCACACAGAGGTACCTCAGAAGAAAGGCCCGATGATCTACTTCTGAAAAATGAGCCACTGAAAATCCAATGGAGCACAATTCTTCTCTGACACACATGGAGTCGCCATGAGTCAGAGTTGACTTGATGACAACTTTTTGTTTGTTTGTTTGTTAAGAAGATGACAGCCATTGCCTTTCCTTCCCTAAACTGTATGTTAACAGGGCATTGATTATGGCAGAACCTGTGCCAGTATGGCCTTACACCGTGGACCTCTTTGGGACATGCCTTCTAAGTCTCATATCTCCTTATGTCCAAAGGCCTCATTGGATTTTGATGAATGGATTCTCTTCAATATTGACTTTTCTGCAGGGGCACTTGGCATATGTTCTTAATCCTCACACTCTACATGAATGTGGATGAGTTAGCTGGGAATATTGTTTATTTATACCCCACTGCTTTAGCTGGTCACTTGGAACCCCTGGAACAGAATGCTGGGTACCTAAAGAACCAGTGAGAGGAATTTAATTTATTTTCTCACTGTGTACAGGCTCTACTCCCCTGTGATGCTATTCATCGCCTCCCCTACACACTGTATTTATGTATATACGTGTACATAAACAAATGTTGTTTGGCTTCCTATCTCTCCTTTCCGGCAGCACAAAAATAGCTACGATAGGAAAAAAAAAATCGAATGCGATTGTCTTTGCATAGATTGTAGCACATTCCTCTTGCACAAACTAACCTTTAAAAAGTTCCTGTCCTGGGGAAATCTAGATGGGTTTGAAGTATTGTCAGCAAATTGTACAATACCTGGGCATTTCAGGTTCATCTGAGAGAAACAAAA